TAATTTCACATCGAAACAATACGTCGTAAATTTTTTTATAAATACTTAAGTCCAGTTTCTCTTCGTCTTTCGCTAGCTGTCATTCTCTACAATTGTCGTTACGTAAGCTAGAATTTCACGTCTCTAGCGAGAAAAAACTATAGTTAAAAATGTTTCGATACCCGTGGCGTTCGAGTTTATAACGAATTTCCACCCCAAGCGCGAGACCGAATCGCATTCAGCCAATCAGCGACGCGTGTCCTCCGATAACCGGGCCACCTTTCATTGGTCGAAATTACACGACCGTTTTATACCTCGACAAATGGAACGAATCGGATGGAATCGCAGATAACGAGCAATTTCTATCCCCCATCACGTACACCACGATCTGCCGCGACGTTCAAATTTTTGTTTCGTACTTTATATTACGATCGTGTATCGATTATGAGCGACACAGATCGTCGAGCCAGAGAATTATCGTCGTGACTCCATCTAGCGGCCGATAATGTGCGCGTGTCGTTACACGGTTTCGTTCTTTCGATGTTCTTATCTGCACAACCGCAAATGGTAACCGCGGTCTTTTGATCTTTGCCGCACAATCAGTCCAAGTCAGAACTGATAACGGAAGATAGTATCGTTTCCAAGCTTATCTCATCTAAAAGTAAAAATGATTGTTAGATTTCTTCAAAGAGGGTTGCGTTTCTATGATGATTTCATATTTGGTTTGGTTGATTGTAAGGTATCACGCGGGTAGTAAGTGAAATCTAAGGTCAATTGTTATTTGTGCGTTATATAAGATAAAGCATTTATATATAAGAAAAATATTTATATATTTTCTTGGACAGTGAGGAATTACATATAAAATTTGAATAGCAATTCAAAATTTTATACTTTTGATAATTATTATATAAAAATTCATTATATTAATATTATTATAATAATTATTAATAATCATATTAAATCGAATAAATAATAGTGAATTAATGATCTTATTAATTAAAATTAATGTAATTTTTCCAATATTTCAAACATATTTAAAATAATAATAAGATAATTCTTAATTTTCTTAACATTGTAACAAAATTTTATAGAATTTTATTTTCATGATGCATGATAAATTATAGATAATTATGTACGTTAATACAATTTCTTTCTTCTCTCTCTCTCTCTTGTAATCATTTACGGCCAGTGAGAGAGTGTCGACAAATTAATTTAGATCGACGTTTTATTGGCAATGGGAGGGAGTGGAACGCGAGGAATGCGGATTTAAACGGTCGGGGTGTGATTTCTGCTATTTCACAGTTCGTTTCACGGACCACAGCGTTTCAACGGATGTTAATTGCTCCCTGGATATTTCTCGACACAACGTACGCCGATTATGTCACTGTTCCTTGTTAATGCTATTCACAAATCGCCGATTAAAGGAACGTTATCGTACGATAATGTACCTCGACTTGATGAAAAATTTTACCCGATTTGTACCTGAAAATTAGTCGAAAGAGGAAACGAAGAGAGGCAGGAAGCAAAAGTAGTAGCACTGCAACGAACCTACTTATAGACCTCGATATGGACTGGTTCCGCTGCGTTTGGTGTCGTCCAGGTCTTTGCTGTTTTCTGTTAATTAAATTGAATTGCGTATTAGCCTCACTTTGAAGGTACGTAAGAAAACAGAGAAAATACGAGATTTCGTAATGTATACACAGGATATTTAACTATGTGGAAAAATTTCAAACGTGATTCTTTAGAATAAAGAAAGAAAATAATCAAGAAAAAAAATCGTCTCTGAGATTTTGTACTTTGGCCAATGACAATTAAAAATACAAATTTTTGGAAATTTAATTTTTTATATCAAAAATAAAGACAATTAAAAATCAATGAAAAACTTTATTAACAACAAGAAAAAGAGAATCTTATACAATATATGCAAATATTAATTCAGATAAATATTACCATTACAATCAAATCAAATTTCAAGATACTTTATAGATCA